TGCTAGTATTGTTGAAATAAAAATTATGAAAAATGTATTGTGCTTCTAAAGAAACATGTTTGATTTGTGACTGAGGTACAATAAGCACAAAATAGGTTTCCCTCTTTTAATGCAGATAATATAGTGTACTGCTTAATAAGAATTTTGGGCCAGATTCTCAGCCCCATTTCCATCCTCTCTACATGGTTTAAGCAGCATAAAGGGGATGTAATGTGGCTGCAGCTGGCCATCTGAGAATTCTTCCAGCAGATGTGAATTCCCAATTTGCATAAAGCCTGCAGAGCTGGCTCCTAAATTTCTTCTTCTCCCCACTCCAACATAGGGGTATGTTGTGACGGAGCAGATGGTGCAGAGTTCTGCTCCTCTACAGCAATTCTCTGCTAGCATACGGTAAGATCCCTTAGAGTACCTTAACCACAGCCATAAATCACAGCAGCCCTTAGGCTGCTCTAACTTATATCAGGACTAAGGTGGGTTTGAGAATCAGGGAGCTGCAACTGGCTTTCTGATGGTCTTTCCCTCTCTCCTGCACCAAGAGTATCTTGACAAAGGAAAAAGGCTGGCCCCTCTTGAAAGAATTGAGATCACTGAGTGTGTGATGCTTTCTGTGATCACAGAGTTGGTAGCATGTTGCTGCTGTTAATGGAGTTTAGCATTTAATGCATATAAGGACTTAACTGTTTATTTCCTGGATTTTGAGTGTTTGTGACAATGATCACTGCACATATGAACCCTTTACTTTTGAGCGAAGTTTTTTTGTATGCAAATTGGGAAATGTTCCACCATGGAATGAGCTGTCTGAAAATATGACAGATAAATTTCTTGTGTGTCTGAACAGGACAACAAAAGCCCCCAAGGGAGGAGAGGAGAACTACCTAGGAAAGAGGAGAAAGTCAAAGAGTAGGGCAAAAAGAAATCAAACGATGGAGGGAACTCCCAGTGAAGCTGGGGAAAAGGGCCTTCCCAGGCTGAACAGACATGCCCAGAAGGGGACTGCAGGCACTTGAGTAGGGCTATGAAGAAAAGTTGTGGCATACTCTCCCTGCCTGCATCACTACCTTACTCTCACAAACCACCCACATCCCTGTGCGCATCATTGCTTCCTCCATGAAGTGTCACTGACTGTTTCTTCCTAGCTACAGCCAGTGATTAGAGGAATGGGAAGAAGGAAGAAAAGACAGAGAAACAAAACCTCCAGGGAGGGAAATGGGGGAAGTGGAGGTGTACCGATAAAAGAAGGTGAAAGGGGAGGAGTCAATAGGGAAGGGGATGTGACCAATGGGACAGAAGCAGAGCTCATCACTTATCCCTGATTTGACCCCTGATTATTAATAATCAATTATTATAATTATTTAATAATTTATGGCCACCTCTACAACATGCAAGGTTCTTTCCACACATCCAGGAAGGGATGGTCCCTGCTCCAATAAGCTCACAGTTTAGCATATTTACAGTGTACTCATCAGTATTGCATCTAGGCGCATTTAATAAGTGTTAAAACTGGATCTAACTGTATATTCAGATAGGAGGAACAAGCTCAACCTGCAACTTTAAAAGAGCAAGAACCGGGGGGGTGGAAACCTGGCCAGTTTGCTAATGCCCAGGATTTCAGAGCCCATTGGGAGCGTGGACAAAAGGATGTCTTGTCAGTTTTCCAAATGTGGTTGTGTTTCGGTTTTAAATGACAAAAGCTGATTTTATTTTAGTTTAGGGTTGTTTTACTGTACTTTTTTTTTTTTTTTTTTGGTTTAACAATTTGTGGAGCATGTGACTTGATAGAGGGATACTTTTATTTCATTCACAGGGCAAGGAGAGAGTGTTTTGGGGGCAGAAGAGAAATATGGTGGGGATACTGACACTAGGTTCCTGTGATGATTGCTGCGTTCATTTGGGTGGCTTGCTTGGTTTACAGGAGTTGCTACCCTGAACAGATCATTGGCCCCCCAGATCCTCAGCTGCAGTACATTGATGTAGCTTCATTGAGATGAATAGAGCTGACCAGATTTACACCCACTGGATTTGACCCGCAAACTCTAAGTCCTACCCTTTAGCCAAATTTCAAACACCTTTCCCTTTCTAGGATATAACCAAAGTTGGACATGAAAGTATCCTGCTGAACTCTGCACAGGTACAGGAAAGAAACTATTATGGTAGTTTTCAGAGTATCAGCCGTGGTAATCTGTATTTTCAAAAAGAAAAGGAGTACTTGTGGCACCTTAGAGACTAACAAATTTATTTGAGCATAACTGCTAGCTAAACTCAGCTGGGATGAAGATTTGGGTTTTGCATACATTCCTTTAGGACTTTAGTAAGGGACTCTGTAAAGTAGTCTGGGCGAGGGCTAGTACACTTTTATGCCTGGAGCAGGCCTAAGGATGGTGGGGGAAACTGAGACAAATGTTTTCACAGCACCACAGCCAGCTAGGAGGCCGTGTTGGGGTGGAAACTTTGCCACAGGCAGAAAACTCCTCCTCTGCCTTTTTGGGGTTGCTCTCTGTAGGTTCTTACTCAACATCTATCCATGTAATAGAGAAGCACCTCCAAAATTAGGAAGTACATATATGCCAGTGGAGTTACTCTTAATTTACACCAGCGTAACAAGAGGAGAATGAAGCGCTAGGATTCCTTGGGCCCCATTCACTGGTGATATAAATGGTGCTGTACATTACAGTTCAGCAAATGGATGCCCTAATCTGTGCTGGGGCCAAATTACCCGAGGAGGGAGAAGATGCATGCTGCACCTTACTGTGCTCCGTACAGGCGCAGGGCTGAATCTGTGCCAGGACTGCAGAAAATTCCTACTAGTCCATGAGACTTCCTGCCATCTAACCCCCCCTGCTGGGCATCCCCTGTCTCTGCCTGCTACTGGAATGGCACAGGGGCAATGCCCTGTGATGAGACCTACAGAAACGACAGGAGCATGCAAGAGGGAAGATGATGGAGACAGCAACCAATGTAAAAGGGAGGGAATGGCGAACTAGGAGCACAGTTCACGGCATCAACCGCATAAAGGGCATAAGACAGACTCCTGCCATGGATCTAACCTCAAATAACCATGGTTTGGGTTTGTGAACTCCGATTCTAAAGCAAATGTTAACCACAGCATAGGTGGGGAAAGAGGTGTGGTAATTATGTCTAACAGGGGCAGGTGCCGATATCAGGATTTTAATAACATCTATATCTGTCTTGTATCATAGCCATGTGTCTGTAAAAACAGAGGATTTCCTAGGAAGCAAAAAAATAACTTGGTACTAGGGCTGGTGGGAAAAAAATGGTTTCTCACTGGAAAAGGGGGATTCATTGATCTTTTCTGTGGGAAAAGAACAAGTTTGGTGACATTTTCTGTTGGGGACAATTGAAATGAAACATTTCATTTGGGGAATCCTGAGATTTCATTTTGATCATGTCAGAATGGAACACGTTGAGATTTCAAAATCAAACATTTCAGAACTTTTCATTGTGCGAGTCGTCTCTGTATTGCAATTTTTATCCCAATTGGGGATGAAAATAAAATGTCAAAATATTGAGTTTCCTACAGGATAAAAATTCCTTTTTTCAATCTGCTCTGCTTGGAACCCATATTAAGGAGGCAGCTAACAACAGGAATCTTTCCTTTTTCCAAGATCTTTTGTGCAATTAAGTTAAACACAGAGGGTCAGATCTTTAGCTAGTATAAATGGAGCTGAGGATCTGGCCCAGACAGACCACATGGAAACCCATGGATGAAATAAAGGCCAACTTTGATAGTGAAACTCAGGCATCGGTCAATGGATCAGGGAATCAGGGTGCTAGACCCCAGACACGCATAATTAAAAAACGACAATCCCTGCCTAAAAGTATTTACAGTCTAAACGTATGAGGAGAGGCAACAAGTGGAGAAAAACAGGGTAATGATGTAGCAAATCATGCAAAGCCCTAATTATAGACAAATGTCTTCAGAGGATTGCATGATGTCACCACCACAGAAACCCTCAAGTCAAACTTAAACCCAATGATAATAAAAGGATGGGGAATAGACGAGGAAACTGAATTGTTCCTCCTGTACTTCAAACAAACCTCTGAACACCAGTGACTCATTAACTCAAAGCTAAGGTGAGGAAAATTGCTCTATGGTCCCACCTACAGGGTAAAAAACCTGCAAACCTTATAATAATACTAAGCATAAATACAATGCTCTCCCTCTTCAGCGCTATGCAACATGGTTTTGGGTGATACGTACGAAAGGGTCAGTATCCCCATGCTAGAGATGGGGAAACTGAGGCAGTGAGGTTAAGTGATTGTCCAAAGTGACATGATTGTGTCAGTCCTGATGCATCTTACTAAGTAAATTCCCAGGGTATGAAACCGATGCATGTTCCTCTTATGAGGAAATAATTATCCAATTCTGGGGATGGTGATTATTTATGCCAGCACGGAGGCAAACTGGGTAGCGAGGGATGAGTGTGAGGAACATGGAAGGTGACTGCACATGGGAAAATGTTGTGTGTTTGTACAGCACCTAGCACAGTGGGGCCCCGGTCCACAGATAGGGTTACTACCGGAAAATAAATAATAATGATTCTGGATGGTGATAAGGGCTGTAGAATCAAGAGGATTCAGTAGCAATGCTGGGGGAAGAATGAAGTTGGGAACGTGCTTGGGGATGGGAAAAGTCCATGTGGGGGCACTTGCTTTGGAATAAAAGGGGCCTATAAGAGTGTCCACATACAGATTTGTACTAAAATAGCACAAGGTGTGACTTACAACCCATTTAGTTATTTTGGTGCTAGTCTGTGTGAGGACAAGCCCTTATTTTACGATAAGTGCAAGCAATCCAGTTGACTTCAGCGTGGAGGACTTCATGTGCTAAAAGTTAGCGATGTGCATAAATGGACTTGGGCCTTAGAAAGGAATTAAGGGCCTGCAAGACAGCTCCCTGAGGACATCTTTCACTGGGGATGGGATGGTAGAATCTCCACCTGTCTTATTTGTTATAAAAATAACCAGACACTTTCTCCTAGTGTAGTTTCTGTTGGCTATTGTTTATTCACCTTTTCCATTTCTCTGTTACATGGTTTTGTATAGTGCCTGCTAATAGTTAAAAAAATAAAATAAAAGCCTTATTACATAATCAAAGAAAGTTTTAATCAAAAGTTGATCGATACAAGTTTATTTAAGCCTTTAGCATTGAATATATTAAAGCAATGTCTTAAAGTATCCATTATTCTTAACTTTATCTGAACCAGGCTATTCTGAAAACCTATTAGGATTCCCTATAGATATTCATCACAAAATTAATGCACAGTATAACACTGTTGGATAATAAACTTTACCCTTGTGTTTGCATAGAGGAAAGAATGTTTACTGTAAATGGCAACAAAAAGAATTTAAAACTTGTGCAAAAGCAGTGCAATCACCCCAGGCATTTGACAGGTTTGAACACCGGCATTCTGCACTCAGAAGAGGCTCCTTTTGTCCTGGAATCAGGAAGCGTCAGACAAGCACATCAGAGAAACAATTCAGGCTCCCCTCCATCAGTTTCCTTAGAGGATGCACATAGATGGTTAAACTCATTCCTGAGACATGTAAAGCCTTCACTGGCTTGGGATAAAGGGTGAAGGAAGGAGTCAATTTTATTATTAAGTTAGATCCGCAGTCCGGTAACCGTGAACAAGACTGGGACTTTGAGCTCAAAGGCAGCATATTGTTTGTGGCCTTAGGGTTAGTGGTCTCAGCTCTGCTCTGAAGAATAAAACATCTGTAACAGAGCGGGTTCTGCAAAGCACAGGCAATTGGGAACTGCCGTTCTGCAATATCAGTACTTGACTAGATCGGAGCAACAGAGCACAGCGACAGCTTTGTTCTGGAGTACTGGTGTCGCACTCGATCCGAACAACTGGTTACAGGGACTGAGCTCTTTAACAGTGCCCATATTTGGCTGAAGATAAAGGACACAGCTGACAAGGATGGATTATTTCAATAGTACTGGTTGGCATCTGACCCAGCTTGATGATGGGTCACATCACATGGAACAGATGGGTTAGCACAGGGGCCCCCAACCTTTCTGTGGGAATAGCACATTCCTATTCCCAGAAGACCGCGGCGGGCGCCAGACACCCCGCCCCTGAAATGCCACCGAGAAGCGGCAGCAGAAAGAAGCGTTGCTGCCAAAATGCCACCAAGAAACGGCAACGCTTCTCGGCGGCATTTCGGCGGGCGGCTCTCCGGCGGCCACGCTCAGCAGCGGCATTTTGGCGGCGCGGTGTCCTGCAGGCATTGCACCCGCGGGCACCGCGTTGGAGACCCCTGGGTTAGCACTACAGTACTGGTGCCTAGTCCAGCCTTGCTAGGGTGATTTTACTAGGATCTATATCCCTACAGTATTGGTTATGATCAAGTCTGTGCTATCACACCTGAAAGAGGAGCTATACACCTGCTATACAGCACAAAGCAGAATTAAGAATTATTCCAGGCTGTGGCAGTACATATGATCATCATACACCTGCTTATCCCCAAAGGTTTCATCACAGAATGGGCAATCCAGAATGTGGCTTCGCACATGGTCCTCGTACTGACGTGGCCCAATGTCATCAGAAAAGACCTCATGACACAGGGGGCATTTCTTCACAGAGGGCTGAAAGGTGAATACAAAACAATGACATATATATATATATATATATAATGCATCCGATGAAGTGAGCTGTAGCTCACGAAAGCTTATGCTCAAATAAATTGGTTAGTCTCAAGGTGCCACAAGTCCTCCTTTTCTTTTTGTGAATACAGACTAACACGGCTGTTACGCTGAAACATATGTAACGGAGGAGGGGAGGTTAGAAATAATCAGTTACAGGGCAGGCTGCTTTAGTTTCTAATGCTCCACAGGGTTTTAAATGTTTCCATGCCTCAGTGACTGGCTCTATGAGCCTAAAAGCTTCTCAGAACTGCTTTTGCTTTCTATCCTACCCAGTATGTGTCCATTTCTCCATTATGAAATACAGCATCTGGCAGCTGAATTCTGCTCATTCCGGCTTCCACGCTGATGTTGCCCATGGCTGCAATTGAGTTCTAGCAGAGTTCCCTTGTTCCTGCTTAGCACAATCATTAATTCCCCCAGCTTATTCTGCAATATACCGGGCTCCATTCCTCTGGTCTTGGAAGGTAGAACCCACTACCTTGACATAACTAAAAGCTTATAGAGGAAACTGGCTATGGAGCTCAATTAGACTTCTGCCTTCATAACACTAAGCAAAATCCACCAACCACTTTACTCACCACGTTCACAGCACTTGATTCTAGGGAGTCTGCAAAAGAACAGAAAATGCAAGTCTTAATCATAGCCAAAAGTAAACCGTTTGATGTGGTGTAGACCTGTTATTCTTGATTCTTCTTGAAGCACCAGATCTAGCTCTGAATCTGGAAGAAACCTCCACATTTAAGACTCCAGAATGCTGAACTGAGGACATGGGACTGGCTGCATTGCGGCTGGGCAAACTGGTTCTCTTTCTTGGCAGAAAGAGAGCACAGTGCTAATCACTTAAGTCAACTCTCAGACCTGACAGAGTTTTGGAGCTGCCAGGGCATCTTCTGAACACATGGGAGGCAGCACAGACATGCTGTTGAGAGCTTTTTTTTTTCCTACAAACCTCCATATCAAGAGGGATGACAACCTGCTAAGACCCCCACCACCACATGGGGAGGGGGAGGTCCCTCCTGCCAACAAAGAGTGAACGGACAGATTCCATCTTTTCAGGAGCTATGGGGAGGAAGTAGATTTTCACCTTCTGTCTCTCACTGGCCAAGAAGAGGTAGGAGGACTGAAGAAAGGATCTTCAGGGGGTGGGAGCTCCCAACTCTATTCATTCTTAATTCATCTCTGATTCTAGCCCAGTTCTTTGATTAGGGTTCTCCTGCTCGGGAGCAGTCAGGATGCGATTAGATAGGACCCATCCCGTTTGGTCCCTGCGAGCCTCTGCATAGCATGCCAAGTAACTCACTATAGTACGGGTTCCCAAACAAAAGGTTTGCGCTTTCTGGAGGCCGAGTTGGAACTTGTGCCAGTGGGACAGCAACCCGGGCAGAATAATCCGAGCTCTCAGAGAGGCGCATCAGCAGCTCGTTGTTCTCTTGCCTTAGTCTCTGCAAAGGGACAGAAGAGCAGAATGAAGTTCCAGGAACTCAGGGGGCCATTTCAGAGAGAAGCCATTTATTATTAGCCATGACCATTTGCACTGATATAGTTCCTCTCACCTGAGAATCTCAAAGCACTTCATAAATCCTTTTCAGTAGGTCAGGCTTATCCCCATTTTACAGATGGGGGAAACAGGCAAAGAGAGGTGAAAACACCTATTTGATGGCCCATGTAACACAGGAGGTCAGACCTGATGATCATCGAATCATAGACAAAAAATTTTGGGCTGGAAGGGACCTTGAGAAGTCAAGTCCAGCCCCCTGAGCTGGGGCAGGACCAAGTAAACCTAGACCATCCCTGACTGGTGTCTGTCCAACCTGTTCTTAAAAACCTGCAATGACGGGGATTCCACAACCTTGCTTGGAAGCCTATTTCAGAGCCTAACTAGCCTTATAATTCGCAAGTTTTTCCCCAATATCTAACCTAAATCTCCCCTGCTACAGATTAAACCCTTAACTTGTTGTCCTACCGCCAGCGGACGTGGAGAAAAATTGATCACCGTCCACTTTATAACCGTCTTTAACCTATTTGAAGACTTATCAGGTCTCCCCTTAGACTTCTTTTCTCAAGACTAAACATGACCAGGTGGTTTTTTTTTTTTTTAACCCTTTCCCTCATAGGTCAGGTTTTCTCAACTTTTTATCATTTTTGTTGCTCTCCTCTGGACTCTCTCCAATTTGTCCACATCTCTCTTAAAGAGTGGTGCCCAGAACTGGACACGATGATCAAAGCAACCCCTTCTGCCCTTAAAATCTATGACCAGCCTAAGGTCATTCAGTTTGTGGCAGAGCTCTGAACAGAACCCCGGAGCTATTCTTTAGCTAATAACTCTGTGAAAAGACTTTGTGTGGTTTGTTTGCAAACACTGGGTAGGACCACTGAATTCCATGGGAGCCGTTAGGCCAGTGCTGAGAGCATCTGAAAAAACCCCACCATCTCATCTGATTGCATTTTAGTAAAGCTTTCTTCCACAATTTCCTTGTCAGGCAGCTCTTTTTAACTATTTTCTCATGATTCTCTATTTCATAATAATGGTTCATTATTTATGAGCTCCTTAATAAGTCTCAGCAAAACCTCTTACAGCTTTTTGTTCAACCACCTTGCCTAACTCTGAACTGTGTTCAGTACCACTGCTAATGAAAAAGAAAAGGAGAACTTGTGGCACCTTAGAGACTAACAAATTTATTTGAGCATAAGCTTTCATGAGCTACAGCTCACTTCATCGGATGCATTCAGTGGAAAATACAGTGGGGAGATTTATGCATCCGATGAAGTGAGCTGTAGCTCACGAAAGCTTATGCTCAAATAAATTTGTTGGTCTCTACGGTGCCACAAGTACTCCTGTTCTTTTTGCAAATACAGACTAACAAGGCTGCTACTCTGAAAACTGCTAATGAAGACCTCTCTGCGCTGTGAGGTTGGTAGTGCGGGTGTGAGTTTCTCACCAGATTTTTCTCATCAATTTCATCCTTTTTCCGCTGAAGAATCTGAAACAAATGGTTCTTCTCCTCGAGTTCCTTTGCTAGATCACGGTTTTGATGCTGTGAAGCAAAAGCATTAGGTTTGTCAGTGATGGGGAATCACCAAAAGAAAAGCTGTGAGAGCATCGGGGGTTGCTCAGATATCATTTGTTTCTTATGCCTGCATTTGTGTGTGTGTGTGTGTGTGTTTCAACAATAAATAAACATTGACCTTCAACATGAGTCTGACCATGTCATATCTAACCAACCTAAGTCACCATTGCTTCCAAAATAAACCACTCATGGTCTGTATTTCCCTCATTACATACATGGCGATACTGTGAGTAGGGATGTAAAAGTTTACCCGATAAGCATCGGTCTTATCGGTTTTGGTTATCAATTAAACTCTGCAGCTGGACTGCGCCCAGGACTCCGCTGCCACCACGGGGCTGGCAGCCGGGAGGGATGCCCTGGCGCGGTGGAGCCGGCCGTGGGGATCCCAGATGCGGGGTGGCAGTGGAGCTCTGTGGGGGTGCGGCAGCACACACACCCCCTGCACCCCTAATTCGCTGGTTGAAGGTTTAACCGTGTAACCGATAAAATTTTAGTCGGTTACACAGTTAGTTTTTTTTAACCGCTATTTACATCCCTAACTGTGAGTAATATTTTCTACCATCTCTGGTTGTCTAGAAGCTTCCATCATCTTGGCAAACAGTGACCTGGCCTTGGCTATTCATGCCTTTGTTACCGCTCAGGCTGGATTACCGCAATGCAGCATACCTGGGCATGAAGCCTTCAGCCCTTAGGAAACTTCAGCTGGTAGAGAACACCACAGCACATCTCCTCAGTAACACTGGCTACTGTGAACTAAGATTGCCAACCTTCCAGGATTGTCCTGGAGTCTCCAGGAATTAAAGATTATGTCATGTGATGAAACTTCCAGGAATACGGCCAACCAAAACTGGCAACCCTACTGGGAACACATCAAACCTGCCCTCAGCTCCCTACACTGGCTTCCCATAGAATAGCAAATCAAGTCTGAGGTCTTGGTTCTCATCTTCAGGGTGCTCAATGACCTGAGCCATGGGTATCTAAAAGATTGCCTCAAGCTCCGAGCTCAACAACTTTGCTCCTCAGGCACAATGGAACTTTCTACAACAAAAGTAACAGTTTGTGTGTGCAGGAACAAGAGCTTTCTCAGGGCTAGTTGGAGCTTGTGGAGCAAACTCCCCCAGGACTAAAGACAAACCTCGCCCCCTTCCTCTCTAAGTGCAAGGCCTGTTTCTTTGACGTGACCTCTCTAACCTGCCAGCTATATTCCCTTCATGATAAAGAAGTGTTCCATTCTGCTGTATACCCATTGACTTTACATTCCTTTCAGTAAAATATTGGCCCTCCCTGAATCCCAGCAACACCTTGTCCTCTATACAACCACAGATTTCATCCCCTCACTTTTCCCTCTACTCTTTGGAGACCATCCCCCACATCCACCCAAAGAAAGACATGACACCTGCTTATGTTGCAGATGAAGAGCCATGCTGGCCTCTGTCACCTTCAGATCCTCCAGACATTGTTCCAGCTTCTCTTCCTGCTCCTTCTGCACAGGACCACAAATTTCAGCACCATATGCAACAGTGAGCGGGAGCCGCATATAAATAACAAAAGGAACACCAAAGAGAAGGGAGGTCGGAGGAGGCATGGGACGCGCACACAGCCAATCAACTCATCCCCCACAGAAAATGGATGCTTCCCACTGTTTCTGGCTTTCTTCTGTAATTTAGACCCTCTCTGCTCCAAGTGCATCTGTTTGTAGTCACTTCTATTAAATGGCTTTGCTAAACTAGGATACTATAGATGAGTAAAGGGATGACAGAGAAGAGTTATAAGGGTGTTGCTGCCCCTCCATCAAGCAGTAGCAGATGTACAGGGCTTTGTAAACCAGCTTCCCACTGGAGCAGAAATCAGCGATGCAGAGTTTGGGTATATTCCTAGTATACCTTGTTTTATTTACATGTATACACCAGTCCTGGGACACGGGCGGTCACAAACACAACACAGACAATCCTCTCTTTTAGAAATCTCAGCAAAACACAAATCCCTGGCTCCCAAGGAGCAAATCTGACCGAAGAATTGACACTAGTTAGAGATTAAGGCAGGGAGCAAACTCTCTTGCTGCTTGCAGCAGCTCTTCAAAGGAACTGAATCACAACCACCAACCATACAAGTGTTTTCCCATCAAGACTAAAAACTGGTTTGCACACTAAAAAAGAGCACCTGGAAGAAAAAACTAATGTGTAACAGCACCGCCTGCTATAACAGGGGCGGTCCCTTCCCCTCCATCACCTAATTCCCCTGGAGCTTCCATAAAATCACCTCCATCTGCTCACCGCTATGGGCTGCTCTCTATCCCTCCACCCCAGCTCCCTCATGCCTCAACGTTATTGGGGAAGGCTCTACCTGTTCAGTCACAGTAATGCGTAACTGACGATTCTCCTCCTTCAGATGCTCCAGCTGCTCAGTCTTGTCATGGTCCATCTGAACCAGGCTTTCCATTTCCTTCTCTTGATTCAACACCTGTGACTGAGGTGAAACAAGAGTGGATGAAAGTGATGGCCCAACAGTTCATACAGGACAGAAGGAAGCACAGGCAATTTATAATGCAGCAGGAATGTCCAGAATGAAAATAGCTTGGCAAAGTCTTACCAAGCCATAGATCCTAATTCCAAACCCCACCCTATTCACATGGCTTTTGGGTGTGATTTGCATAACTGCACACTAGTGGTAAATATCCTGAAATGTTGACCTGATTCAGTTGTAGAACAAATGTCTGGAAACCAGTTCCAGTGAAACATTTTTGGAACCCAATGAAACTTTCGGAAAAGCACCAATCTGGAGACAAGAAAGATGATCCTTTGGCTGGGAGACAAGAGAGCTCAGTTCTATTTCTGGCTCTGCCACTGATTTTGTGCATGTCCTTAGTCAAGTCACTCAATCTCTGTTTCCCCATTTGTAAAATAGAGCTAGAAATGGGAGAGCAGGTAAAAAAAAATTTTGATGCAACAATTTTCCATCAAATGCCATTTTAGTGAAATTGGGATGTTTCAGAGGAGTCATATTGGATTTGATAAAATTTTTGTTGGAAAGGTTCGTCGGGACCAAGATGGCATTTCTGGTCGGGAGGATGGGAAAGCTATGTAGCCTGGTGGGTAGAGGCTCCATAATCCAGTAGTTCAGACACTGGCCTGGGTCTCCCATGTCCCCAGCCTAACTGCCAGGATACAGAGAGTCAGTCTCTCCTTTTCCTTCTGATGGACAATAGCACATTGTTTGAAACCTCTCTCTGTTTCATGAAATGGAGTTGTTAGTTTCCAGCTAGCCTTACCACTTACATACCTCATAGGGCTCTTGTGAGAATAAACCCTTCCACATTCATAAATCCCTTTGAGATCCTCAGATAGGAGGAGCTAGAGGAGTACAAAATCTTTATGATGAACCTAACATGGGTGCAGAGGGGAGGTGTTTTGGGGATGAGATGAAAAATCTGCAATGATTCGCTAAAACTTCCCAAATACAGCATTTGTTAGGAGCTTCCTGGAGCTTACGTTGTCATGTTGTAGCTTCACATTTTCCTAAGGAAACCATGGAATCACTAGGAACAACTCAGACACCATCCTAATTTGCTACAGGCAGCTCCATTCCCAGCCAGACACGCCAAGTACTACACAGATTGCAGAAGCAGAAACAGACCGCGCCTTGCTTACCTGCAGCTGGTCCATGTGATCCAGGGTAGTTTTCAATCTGTTTTCCAGCTGTTCCTTCTCAGATGACACTTCTTGGTTGTGCTCTTTGAATCTGCTCAGAGCAAACTAAACTGTAACATTTTCAGCTGCATGTGGCCCCCCAAATTCCCCCTCAGCACCAGCCCTTGGTAAACCGCACCCGCAGCCTTCATTTCTCAACCTAATCAAAAGCTTATCTTGTCCCCAGGCAGGTTCAAATGGAGTAACCCTAGATACCAAAGCCCTGCTGTCTTGCTCAAACCTTTACATGAAGTTACCAGAGATTCCACAGCCCTGTGGGTTCCTTTCCCCTCAACTGACGCAGACAGCTGAGAGCCTATCATCCGTGGACGCATTCCAAGAGTCAGTTTTGCGCAGTCACCCTCACACATCTGGTTGACTGAGGGCCTGTGAATGCCATACCTAGATCAAAACCCCCAGGGGCTCCTTATACTCTCACTCACAGGGTGCATTCTGTGTATACAGTCACTGGCTTTCATCAGCACGAAACAAAAGAGGAAACCCAACCCACTGCGCCTGGGAGCTTCCAGGAACTCCCATTTGCAGACGTATGGTGTGAACACTCACTGCTGCAACTCTCTCTCTTTGCAGCCATTCTGCTCCGTCAGCCGCTTGTTCTCCTCTTTCAAGAAATTTCCTTCCAGCTCCAATTTCTCACAGCTGCTCCTCAGAGACTCCAGTCCTTTCTGCAGCTCCTGAGTGCAGGAAGGTAAATGGGAGTCAAACCACAGAAACAGCCATCATTTTTGCTCCCCACTGTATCCGCACGTCCTTTTGAATGCAACAACCCCAGACAACCCTCCTGAAGGGAACAAGATTTTCTCTCTCCTTTCTCTTCTCTCTCATGTATTCAGCTCCAGTTTTGCTTAAATTGGGGCCCTGGACAAAAGAGGAGGAGGAGGGAGCAATAATAGGCAGGTCAGATCCAGAGCTGGCCTTTGGGGTTTTGGGACACGCCTATGAAATCATTTTTGAGCACTCCCCTTTCCCAAACGTGACCAACTCCAGCCCATCATGACCAACCTGCTCTGCACTGGGTCAGCCTCAGGATTTGGGAGAGGGTTGGAGAGATCGTTTTTTGGAGATACACGCACAACTGACTCTTTGCACACAAAGTGTTGGTCAGATCTCTCTCTCTCTCTAAATCTTTGGACCTCACCAGGCTCCGGCTGCAGAAATGAAGCCCAGGTGCTCGGTCCTTTCCACCCACGCGATTGGTTTGTATTTTCAAGGCTTTTTGCCAGGAAAGGGCCTTGAAACTCTTTTTGTTTTGCTTTTTAAATGGACGTGGAGATTCTCTGTTGCATTGAGGGTTCCCCCCGAATTCGGAAGGCCCAGGAACCCAGTTCCACTCAGAACCTGTCTAACTGCAGAAAGAAGCTCGGCACAGAGCTCCCATCAGTTCCATTCCCACATGCAAGGTGCTGGGGCTGCAGCAAGACTGTTCCACAGAGATCAAAGGGCATGGGGCGAGGGAAAGAAGTGAGGGGGAGATTTTCTCTTCTCTTTGCCCTTTGGGACTAACCCTGAGAAGCATTTACCAACCCCCTCATTGGTTACAATGGGAGATACAGTTGCTCACATTTCTCTAAGGCGAAGACCTTAAGTCTATCTTATTCTCCCCACTCCACTTTCTCTGGTCTCCCCCTTTTCCCTCCTCCATGTCATCCCAGTTTCCAGCTCATCTGGACTTTTACCTTATTTTCCTTTCCAAGTGTTAGGTTCTGTTCCCTAACTGAAGCCAAATTCATCTGGGCAGAGCTCATCTCTCCGGCCTGTAGCTCCTGAGCTCTCCGCAGCTCCAAGTTCCCAGTCTGCAAGAAACAGACTTCTCCCTCTAACTCCTTCATCTTCTCCTGGAAGCACATAATGGGTATGTATAAGCCTGAGTTGTCAGCCACAGGGCCTCTGAATTCCTGTATTATCCCTTGTCTGTACCTGTGCCAGCCGGAGCTCCTCCTGCAGACCCAGGTTCTGCTTCTGGAGACAAAGGCAGCTTTCCTTCAGTTCCTTGTTTTCTTTAAGTAAATCCTTGTTTTGTTGCTCAATCTCCTCCACTTCTCCCTTGTAAACAACACAGACTTGTTCAATAAGAATGCAGTGTGTAGTGATGAGCAAAGGAACATAAGCCCTACAGAAAACCACAGTATATTCTTCCCTACCCCTTCACTGACACCAGGGAGACTGGACTTCCCTTTCAGTTTCTCCTGGTGCTGCCAGAGCTTGTCCAACCAGAGCTCAAAATCAAGCTCCAAAATACTGCACACACCAGGCCTGAACCTCCAAGGCGCTCAATGCCCTCAATTTCCCCAGAGGTCAGTGGGAGCAGAGGGTCTTCTGCCTCTTGTAGGATTAGGCCCATGAACTGACGGATCTGCACAACCATTAACTTCAGGCGGCCAGCTGAGTCCTCGATACAAACAAGCACCTGCTGGCTACCCAAATGCACCCTTGATCATTTCCTGGCACAGTATTACCTGCTGCCACAGCTGCGCTTCCACCCCCACCCTGATAATACAGGAATGGTCCAATTTCTACTTTTGGGGTTGCAGGGAGCAACACTTACTGAGGCTTTTGGAGACTGAGGCTCTGGGAGACCTCTAAACCCCACCTCCCCCAGCCTAAGGGAAGGAGCCACTGGACCCAGGCGTCAAGAGATTATGGGAGACAATAAATGAAAAAACAGACAGGAGTGAGAGTCACATGGTCTAAAGCAGGGATCCAGAGGGGGACACCGAGCAGAGAACCCCAGACAGTGCCCACTGCCCCTTGAAGACGTCCAGTGAGCCAGTGGACACGGCCCAGAGGAACTCTGCCCAGAGACTTAAAGGAGGATCAGAAATAGGCCGCCCAGTCACAGAATACCTCCCTGTCCAGCTTCCTCCTCCTGGTACAGTGGACGGCCACCTTGGCCAGTGCCAGGAGGAGATCGACCAGAAGGTCTTGCGACTTTATGGGGCCACAGATGAGGTGTGCATAGGTCTAGAGAAGTGCAGCCAGAACTTAAGGAGAAGGTTCTGGAGGAGCCGGAAAGGGGACTGCAACCTGGTGCGTTTGATGTAGGTGAGCGCCAGGGTCTCCCTCTCACTGCAGACGGGGCAGGTGTCAGGGAAGGTAGTGAACTGCACCAGAGACACACCCAGGCTCAAGGCTCCCTAAAGGACTGCAGGGAGCAGCAGCTGAAAGAGCCACAGATAGCTACAGGCCACATACAACACACCACCATGTAGCCCAGCTAAAAACAAACAAACAAACAAACAAAAAACACACTTTCCACTTACACAGCACCTTCATCAAGGGACTCAGTGGGCTTTACAAAGTCTATTAGTCCTCAATTTACAAAGGGGTAAACTGAGGCATAAAGCGATAAAGGAATTTGTCCAAATAGCACAGTCTGTGGTTGACCTGGGGACATAACCCAGCAGTCCTGATTTCCAGTCCTCTGTTCTAGCTATACTACATTGCCTCTTTTAAGAAGAGTCTCCTTAAGTCCAGTGGAAAACTGAATCTGACAACAGTACTTCCACAGCACCTAGGAACCCCAATTATGGGCCACGACTCCATTGTGCAAGGTGCTGTATAAACACAGAACAAAGCGACAGCCCCTGCCACAAAGAGCTGACAATCTAAGTTGGCTGTCTGACCCTCCACCCAACACTGAACTTTTTAATTGACCCCAAGGCCAATTTCTGCAAAGAGCCCTAAACAAGATAATTTTGCTCAGCCTGACAGCGGGAGGGGAGGGAAAAAACTTGTTCTGTTTCAGTTCCAGATCTCAGTCTGTAAAATAACAACAGACCTCAAACTGTTACCCTGACAAGGAGATTCTGCTACTGGAGACGAATAAAATGCCAGTTTCTACCTCCTGCTTGCCAAGCAGGAAAGATTTGTCCTAAGCTGTCCACTCTAAGTTCTACCAAGCTAGGGAGGAAGTGAGGTCTGGTCTTCCGAGCAAGAGACTGGGAACCAGGACTTTTGCGTTCTATTTCTAGCTCTGTCAGTGAGTTGCTCTGAGTCTTCTGGCAAGTTCCTTTACTGCTTTGTGCCTCAGTTTACCCATCTAGAAAATGGGGATAATATTTGCTTACCTCAGAGAGAGGCTGCAAAGGCTAATGAACATTTGCAAAGTGCGTGAGATTCTTGAGTAAAAGGTGCTATAGAGTGTACATTATTGGTACAATATTTCATAGATTTCATTTCATAGATTTCACAAGGCCCAGGAGGGATCTATAAATCATCTCCTGATCTCCCATATATCACCAGCCATTAAATTCATCTATGTGCTGAGCCCAATAACTTGGATTAGACCACAGTTGTTAAATGTATAGCCCGCAGGCCATTTCATCCAGCCCTCAGACTTTGAGCCCAGAGGCCGCACTCCGGGAATGTGATGTGCAGACCACACCAGTGTGTTGTGCTGAGACTCCCCCATGTAGATCCTGCTAGCATGCATTGATGAGAAATGGACTACATCAATGTGTGCTACAGAAGATTTAGTGCACACCAGCCAGGATCGCATGGGGAAAGTTAACACGCAGCACACTGGTGCACTCGACAAATGCGAGTCCCAGTTCAGTGCTGTTGTCACTGGACCAGGATGTGTTAGGGAAAAGAGTCTGAACAAAAGATAAGGTCATGAGAAAGCAGGAAGAGAGAGGGAACATACCTGTGTAGTAACCACCAGGATATCATCCTCGGTCTCTGCCCGGAACTGGAAAGGTATGCTGGCGCCACGGACCACCCCCTCCTCGTCAACGTAACAGAACTGGTAATATTCATCATCTTTTGGCAGGTAGTAGGCTTAAAAACAAACAAAAAACCCCACCATAGGGTGTTTTTAATTACTCAGGCCTCTTGTCAACTGTACAGCACAGAAAGCCCAGATCTAACCGACCTAAGACGACAGAATACAAAGCAACATACACATTATAGGGCCAGCTCCTCGTGCGATCATCTATAGCAGTGCAAAGTGAGTGTAAAACACTGACACTTTGCACTGATGTAAATGACTCCTCAAGGAGCAGGTCAGTGACTCCCTATCACCAAAAGAACACGGATCGTCAGACACAACTGAACACAGTACCTGCAAGGGGGATTCTCACCAGGGGCTTTTGCTGCACTGATAACAGCGGAAGAGGAGGCCGCAGGACGGCATGTGCCGTATGGATGTGTCTCCGTATTAGCAGGAGGGGACACTCTCTCCAGGCTGAACTGCACTGACAGTATATTCTTGAGGTGACCTTATAGCCACAGCTCCTTGAATGAAGTTTACCCAAGTACGGGACAATATTCCTATTCAACAGTTGTACAGCTTCAGGTGGTAACACTTATTACTGGCATTTAGAGCAATTTGGTACATGACCGTGCATGTGCGAACTGTGAAGTGCCCATCCCTTCCCAACTGACCTCGAAACTGAATTTGCTGCTGCACGACAGAATCACCGCTGAGGTCAACCGGGAAAGGAGCCCACATGAAAGTGTAATATTCCCGGGTTGTTTTCCATCCCACCTGCAACAGCAAGATAATAATACGGTATCATACAGCTTATTGACGTTTCTCCTGTGACCATTCACAGAGGGCAATATTGTAACTTGGGCTGTAGGCCCGCACTAAGCTGTAAGAACCCCCTTTACACTACTATACCAGCTACCCAGATCTTGGGTCCATGCACATGGGAGTAATCAGGGCTATTTGCCAGCTTACCCTTCCTTGGAGCAAGAGGGAGGGGAGAGGTGGGGAATGAGAGGCGCTCTGGAGAAGGAGAGCGTTGAGGGCAGATGTGGGCACAATGCACTACACGACGCCTATTCCTCACTGGCCCTAGGAAACAGGGCACAAGTCAGATTGGCCCTGAAACAGCTCTAATTTCAGGCTGGCCCCTCAGCAGTCCCAGAATACAGGAAGTGCAAAGGTGGCTCAGTGCTACGTTAACCTCCCCTACTCCATTCCTGCTCCCAAGTGCAAAAAGGGCGCAACAAAGAGTCAGGTCCCACGTCTCTTGTTGCAGTACAGACACTGCAGCATACAAGTTAGCCCCTGAAAAAGAGCTGCTACTCTGTTCTTCCCAAGTCTCAAACCCTCCCTTAGGGATCAAGCGTGAAATAGCTGGAAATGTCCACACCAAGCCATTCCTTTCGTGAGCGGCCACCTTACAATACATGGTGGCTAATGGTTTGGCGCACACGCTTACCCGGAAAATGCCCACCCAGTCCTTTCTGCGAGGAGCGATGTGCTGCGTGAGGGTATAATAGCAGGTTATGTCTCCTCCGGGGACGTAAAACTTCTCCACGTTATTAAAGATAACCTGGGAGAAGTGGCAGTTGTCCAAGAAGACGGCAGAAGTGGGAGGTTCATCTAAGGTCTCATCCATGATGACGTTCTGTGAGAGGACAAGAACAAAAGCGAAGAGTAAGACAAAACCTTGCAGCCTGTGGTGCTGGGACACAAGAGACTCCTGGGACCTCATCCAAAGCATTCTTAGCACCCGAGGCTGGTCAGCATGAGAAATGCAAGACACGCGCTCACGCCAGTAAGAAGCAAATCCAACAGCCTTCCTATTTTTTCATTAGCAATTCACCATAATGCTTTAGCATCCAAATCCAACACACTTTGTGTCATCCTCATCTTTGTGGCTCAACCTCATTGTTAGGCTTGGCAGAAATCAATTTTTATTTATTTATTTGTAAGTTTAACAGATAATATCGATGTTTATTTTTAAGCCTTTTTTATTATCATCTCTCTAAATGTTCACAGTCACAGGAAGTTATGGGCAGGTCAGACAATAACTGTTTAAACAACAGGAGACATCGAGATTCAAAAAGTTAAAGCTTTATAACCATTAAAGCACAAATGGTCAGCATCACATATCAAAATATACAAAACCAATATCCTTAAATCAAACTGCAAGAAGTTCTCAAGAAACATTTTTCCTGCTTTGCCTATTTGTAACTTTCAAATATCCTAGATGGGAATATTTTTGAGGGGGGGGATGTGTGTGTGTGTACAGTGAAACTGACGGTTACCGACACTAACCAACAGAAATCTAATGGTTCCAAGCCTACTCATTGTGCACACCTCCCATGCAACATGATCCTTGCTCCCTAGGTGGCAGTAGTTCGCTCTTAAGGGTCTAAACCAGGGGTGGGCAAACTTTTTGGCCCGAGGGCCACATCAGGGTTGCAAAACTGTATGGAGGGCCGGGTAGGGAACGCTGTGCCTCCCCAAACAGCCTGGCCCCTGCCCCCTATCCGCCCCCTCCCAATTCCCACCCCTCTCATAACCCCCGACCCATCCAAAACCCCCCCGCTCCTTGTCCCCGACCGCCCCCTTCCTGGGACTCCCCGACCGGCCCCCCTGGGACTCCCACCCCCTATCCAATCCCCCCCCGCTCCCTGACTGCCCCGCCCCCTATCCACACCCCCACCCCTCACAGGCCCCCCGGGACTCCCACGCTTATCCAACTCCCCCGTTCCCTGACTGCCCCTGGGACCCCCCTGCCACTTATCCAACCCCCCGGCCCTGGCCCCCCTTACCATGCCACTCAGAGCAGCATGTCTGGCAGCCGCACCACCCGGCCGGAGCCAGACACGCTGCCCTGCAGGAGCACGCAGCCCCGCCGCCCAGAACGCTGCCTGTCCAGCGGCGTAGTTGCAGGGGAGAGGGAACAGCAGGGGAGGGGCCGGGAGCTCGCCTCCTCAGCCGGGAGCTCAGGGGCCGGGCAGAACGGTCCCGCGGGCCGGATATGGCCCACCTCTGGTCTAAACCCTAAGGATGTAGCATTTGCTACTAGCAACCACTGTAGTAAAATTGCCACATGGTTCTCCATATTAAAACACATCTGTTGCATAGCAGCAGCATCAATAAATAGTATAAGAACTCTCACCTGTTTCTTTATTTAGGAACCTTTTAATTGTGCTGTTACAAGTTCAAAAAATAAATTACACGCGGTTACCTGCAAGAGACAGTTCAAAACTATCGACCCGCAACTGTTAATAAAACAGTATCCAAACTACCAAGAACAGAGGCAACATCCAAGACAAGAAACACTCAGAAAACTAAATATATGCCTTACCATCATGCCCTAGAGGCAGCCAGACTCAGGGTCTGGCAGATTGCCAAGGGGAGGGATTCCTTGCCAAGAAAATCCTGCTGCAAGTCCAGGACAGCCCAATTCCAGGAATAGAAAGTAGGCACCTCCCAGCTGATCTTAACTGCAGCTATTGCATATAGGGTAAGAGATGACCTCAGATAAAATCCCCAGAAGGTCTGGGACTGTGTTATCACAGTCTGTGTCATCACCAGCACCAGGAGTTCCATGTGGAAGTGACCTTAGATCAGAACACTGGTCTTCTGTGATCACTTAGAGGGTGGCCAGCTGCATTCTGTGCCAGCCAATACTTCCCGGTGGCCTCCTGGGGCAGCTCTAGATGGAACATATGGCAGATGTATAGCCTGAAGGTGGCAAGGGTGTAGATGGCTGTTCCCAGGGCCGCATTCAGAAAAGAAAAGCTGTAATATCTCGGCCAGCCATAGAGAGAAAGGGGGGCACTATTGGTCCTTATTTTTACTCGGGTATTGTCAGAGCCAGGACATGGGCAGCCTGTGGGCACAGTGAGCTGCTCACTATCGGGGCCAAAGGTCAGAGATCAATCCAAGTCCGGACAAAACTGCAATGTCAAAGTCCATTACAAAACTGAGAGTGTGAGGTGAGAATCAGAGTCAGGCCAGGCCAGGGTCTTTCACTAGGGTCAAGAATGGTCTTAAGCCAGAGACAGTAAACCAGGGTCGGAGCCAGGATCACAGCAAGCAGTTAGGGCAAAAGCACACCAGAGTCTGCATTGCTCAGACAACTCCCAGACATGGCTTCCTAGCTTATATGGAAAAAGAAAAGGAGTACTTGTGGCACCTCAGAGACGAACAAATTCATTTGAGCATAAGCTGTAGCTCACGAAAGTTTATGCTCAAATAAATCTGTTCGTCGCTAAGGTGCCACAAGTCCTCCTTTTCTTTTTGCGGATACAGACTAACAGGGCTGCTACTCTGAAACCTAGCTTATATGGGGAGTTTCAGCCAATCAGGGAATCATGGAGGGCTGTCACTCATGCCCCTTAGGGTGGGACTTCCTGAAGGGCTTAGCCTCTCAGTTCCTCTTGGTGATAACCCTAACCAGGCTCCTGGTGGCAGTGAGAAAGTAGTACCTACCTTGAACTCTGCAGCCTTGGTTCTAGGCCCATGGGTTCTCACGGGTCTCCTAGTACAGGGATGAATTCACCAGTACTCCAGCTGAGAATTTATTCAGTAAAAGGCGGTGCAGATATCACCTCTGCCCAATCGCATCCACAGCATACAACAAAATGCTGTGGGTAGGTAAGAATTACACGGCTGCTACTCTGAAAATTTATCTCCATTGTTTCCCAGCCTTCCTGATCAAGGTACACAGGCGGACAGCTACAGACTCCATGTTTAAATGACATTAATCACCCCAGCCCCCAAATAAGCACTACATTTCACAATGTTTTTTTAGAATGGGATCTTCTTGTATCTAGCATCTTTCATGTTCAGTATGCCTCAAGGCACATTACAAAGCAATGACTCAGATGTTAAGAGAGCAAGGACTACGCGGACAAACATAGCAACTGTTCTGCACACAGCACTAGCTCAAAACCACTTGAACCTTGGAACGTGTATTCCTGGGACAGGGAGGAGTTAGCCAGCCTGAGGGCAGGGATCCTGACTCTTTCCGGGCTATGCCATGGGACCTTTAACAGCCACTGTGCTATGTCAGAATTGGGTCCGAGACCAAGATGGTGCAAAAGTTACATGTGACCAGTGTCTGGCTGCAGCCAAATAATGAATTCATCAGCAAAAAATGGCTAGGCAGCAGTTCTGCGGAAAAGGACCTAGGGGTGACAGTGGACGAGAAGCTGGATATGAGTCAGCAGTGTGCCCTTGTTGCCAAGAAGGCCAATGGCATTTTGGGATGTATAAGTAGGGGCATAGCGAGCAGATTGAGGGACATGATCGTTCCCCTCTATTCAACATTGGTGAGGCCTCATCTGGAGTACTGTGTCCAGTTTTGGGCCCCACACTTCAAGAAGGATGTGGATAAATTGGTGAGAGTCCAGCGAAGGGCAACAAAAATGATTAGGGGTCTGGAACACATGAGTTATGAGGAGAGGCTGAGGGAGCTGGGATTGTTTAGCCTGCAGAAGAGAAGAATGAGGGGGGGATTTGATAGCTGCTTTCAACTACCTGAAAGGAGGTTCCAAAGAGGATAGCTCTAGACTGTTCTCAATGGTAGCAGATGACAGAACGAGGAGTAATGGTCTCAAGTTGCAGTGGGGGAGGTTTAGATTGGATATTAGGAAAAACTTTTTCACTAAGAGGGTGGTGAAACACTGGAATGAGTTACCTAGGGAGGTGGTAGAATCTCCTTCCTTAGAGGTTTTTAAGGTCAGGCTTGACAAAGCCCTGGCTGGGATGATTTAACTGGGAATTGGTCCTGCTTCGAGCAGGGGGTTGGACTAGATGACCTTCTGGGGTCCCTTCCAACCCTTATATTCTATGATTCTATGAAAAATGCTAAATTCAGCAGCTGCCCAATAGCAGAATCCGTAGGGCCCTGAGTGAGATGGCTGGGCCACTCTCAAACCCAATTATTTTAGACTTTTTGCAGACTCAGACAGGCATTGCTTTACATTTGATTCATGTTTTAGACGTTGTTATAGCCATTACAGATCAAACTTAATTTAAAAAAAAATGAAAGCTGAGGTTCTGGAGCACAATCTGAAGCTATGGGTGAATTCCATGGCAAATTCGACAACCACAAAACACACAGGGCTCTGTGTTCGTCTTATAATTAGCAATACTTTGCCTTTCTCTTGTATCTTCCAACAAAGTGCCATGCAAACTTCACAACCCTTCTACGAGAGGAGTATTATTATCCCCATTTTACAGATGGGGAAAACTGAGGCACAGAGAGTTTAAGTGACTTGCCCAAGATCAAACAGCAAGTCAGTGACAGAATTTGGAAGAGTGCTGTATCCCAGTTTCTCCCTGTTCTAACTTCTAAGCCTGCCAGCTGTCTGCATGCGTTGTCCCAGTGCTTCACTGATGCAACGCTGTTTGTTGGCTCATTTCAATCAACAGAACAATAATGAATTAAGGACAACAAAGAGGGAGAGGAGGAAAAGAGACATAGGGGAAGGAGGAAATTATAAGGGCATGAAAGAAAGGAAAAAAGGATGAGGTGACAATGTAATGATGTCCAAATCCTGCCACTCATTCCTTGAGCTGTTCATAAGCCATCAGCAGAGAAAGAAAAGGGAAGAAAAAATGAGCAACCTGCTACTGCTCCTTACGAAAGGGCCAGTAACAGCCACACCTTACGGCATGCTAACGAGTAACTCACTGCTGCACAGACTGTGCAATGAACTAATGAGATATTAGTACACCATGCACCCAGTGGGGGAGAAATAAATACCCAATTAAAGATTTCCCTTTTTTACAGTCCATCTCTGAGGGACTGTTGTTTTTTTTTCTTTAAGAAGAGACCATTTTCAATTCTATCATATAAGCACCAGAAATCCTAAGGTAGGCTTATGTATGAACACTTTTCAGAGGAACAGCCGTGTTAGTCTGTATTCGCAAAAAGAAAAGGAGTACTTGTGGCACCTTAGAGACTAACCAATTTATTTGAGCATGAGCTTTCGTGAGCCACAGCTCACTTCATCAGATGCATACCGTGGCCGGTATGCATCTGATGAAGTGAGCTGTGGCTCACGAAAGCTCATGCTCAAATAAATTGGTTAGTCTCTAAGGTGCCACAAGTACTCCTTTTCTTTTTGTATGAACACTGTTTCCTAGAACTATATGAAACCCTGAATTCTCCTTACTAAGCAAGACGAGGTCATTTAATTGCCATGATTAGAAAGGTGAGACCTGCACTCGCACCTCACAGGTGTTAATCAACTAAAGTCATCTGAGAAGAGTTTGAGTCTCTCCAAAATATTCATACAGCCCTCAGGTACCACCTAGATAATAAATAACCAGATTCAAGAAAAAGAGGGGGGCAGGTTGATCTTGTGGCTAAAACGAGACCCTCAGGAGATTGGGATTCAGTTCCTGATTCTGCCATTGACTTCTTGTGTGACTTTGGGCAAGTCACTTAATCCCTCTATGGCTCAGTTCCCTGCTGCAAGAAGAAATCAAAACAAACGTACAAAGGGGGATTACAGCAGGAGAGTGAGTTTGTGTGTGTATGGGGGTGGGGGGGATGTGAGAAAACCTGGATTTATGCAGGAAATAGCCCGACTTGATTATGTAAAGAGTTGTCACTTTGGATGGGCTAGCACCAGCAGGAGAGTGAATTTGTGTGGGGGGGTGGAGGGTGAGAAAACCTGGATTTGTGCTGGAAATGGCCCACCTGATGATCACTTTAGATAAGCTATTACCAGCAGGACAGTGGGGTGGGAGGAGGTATTGTTTCATGATCTCTGTGTGTATATAAAGTCTGCTGCAGTTTCCACGGTATGCATCCGATGAAGTGAGCTGTAGCTCAGGAAAGCTCATGCTCAAATAAATTGGTTAGTCTCTAAGGTGCCACAAGTCCTCCTTTTCTTTTTGCGAATACAGACTAACACGGCTGTTCCTCTGAAAAGTATCTAGACAGCGGCAGAAAGACGGTTTCCACAAGGACCAGAACTGAACCCTTCAAGAAACCCCTATACCTAGCATGGGTGATTGCTGAACAAGTTAAACCAATTGGTCCATGGTGTCACCAATGAATAAATATGCCAAGGCCTCAATCAGGGAGTCCAGATCCAGGAGAAAAGAAAACAGCAAGAATCATCCAGTCCACAAATTCAGCGCCCAATGCAACCCTCCCATCCCCTCTGATGATGAAATGCTTTGTAAAGCCCTTTGAGATCACTGAATGAAAGAAGCTGCGCAAATAAAATCATGACGGCCTTCACGTGAGCAGATACTCCAGCTCTATTCTCTCGCTCCAACAACATCATTCAGATACATCAGCCCCTTTCTCCCTCCCCTCTTCTCTGACAGATGATCCGCCACTTATTTTCAAGGATTACTGTAGTCCGAAAGGAGCCTAGTTAGATGAATCATGGGATGGAGAGAAGCAGTAAGCTCAAGCACAAAAACCCCTTTGCTAGCAAAGCTATCAGCAACTCTTGTCAGTCTGGAGCAGGGGTAGTCAATAGGCGGACCATGGGGACAAAGCCGGACTGCCAGATGCTTCTGAACGGACCCCAAAATCGTTTTATTTCTTTATCATTTTTTTAAATAATTTTCTCTGGAGTCTGGACCTTGACCAAGAAATTTATACCTTGACAAAAAATAATTGACTACCCCTGCAAATCTGGAGTATAAACCTTACCACTACAAAGGAGGGACAGTTTCTATGTTTTACTTCCTTGACTGCTGTTCTTACGAGGTCATCCCCTTTTCTTCCACTTGAATCCCTACTCTAGCTTGCCGTTTCCTTCAGCATCATGCTCAACCCCCTCACTCTCACCATAAAAGCTATTCATAGTTCTATCCCTCGTATATTTCACCCCCGCACCTTTCACTATTCCCCTGCTCACGCAGCCAAATACATACCAATGCAAGGACAGAGGGGGGCAGAATGTGTCTCCTCTATTCAGCGGCACCCCCTGTAGCTATTGCCCTTATGGGTACTGCAGCAACAGAGAGAGAATGGTTAGGTTTGGCCCAGCTCAGCCCCAATGTGCCCTCTGTGTATTGAGGGGGAGACACTGTACAGAAATGAGTAACTGGGCCCAGTGAACTCTCTCTCCACTGTGCCAACACAACATGCATTGACACACCTCTAGTCTCCTTTTCCCATAAGCAGCTCCATGTCTTTTCCACATCAAACCATAGGAGTGGAACATCCTCCCTGATCCTGGGTGCCATGCAACTTCCCAAGACCCACTTCTTTCTGCAAGGTTTCCAATGCTGACCTCCCTCTTCATCACTCATAGAAACTGCCATATCAGAGCAGACCAACGGGTCCATCTAGCTTCACACAAACGATCACAAACACTGCTTAGGGCAGTTATGAAATCAACTGCCATTTGGGAAGTTTCTCCCTACTAAAGTAAAGGAATTATATCCCTTACACTTTTTTCCCTACCCAATGTTAGAGTGGACTTTCTCATTATTCATATAAATGGATAATCATCTTGTGAAGTCTGCTGAACTCTTGACCTCAGTTGGATATTGTGGCAGTGAGTTCCACAGGCTGATTATGTGGGCATTAGAAAATCTTATGTCCTTTTATCAGTGTTAAAGCTTGTTTCCTTAATAGTTTAAAATCACCAATAAAGGTAACAGACTGCTTCCATGTTACCTTATCTATACAGCCCTTTATTTCACATATCCCTTTCACACGCTCTTGTTCCCCAATACTATAAGCATAGCTCCCTTCCACCCAAACTCCTTGTTTCCAGTCACGTGGGGCACACGCAGAGTTACCGCCTTACCAACTCAGGCATCACGACCCCACGTGGACCCGGCGACTATTGACACATCGTCCCTTTGCCGTGCGTCACGTGGCACAAGTTGCAACATTTCAAATGGGGTCCCTTAAGAGATTATTGGGGCAGTGGGGGAAACAGCCCCAGAAAATCTCAGGGTGGGGGCAGGCCATTCAAAAAGGTTGGCACTATTGGCCCCTGGAGGATGCTGTGGCCAAAGTCCAGGGCCCAAAGGATCCTTGGGGTGGGAGAGACATCTGACCCATAGAAAGCATAAAGACTGGCCTCTTTCCACTTTTGGTATGGGGCGGGGGGGAAGACGGGGGGGGATTGTGCCGCCCACCTGCCCTTGCTGGCCACATACAGAGAGGCCTTGGGGGATGGAAGTAAGTAGGGAGCAAGGGGGTGCAGGGAGAGGAAGGCGGACGGGATTTGGGGGGCAAACCCCACCATGGTGCCCCAAGGTGACACTTTGTGGCGATTCTACGGGGGGGGGGGTCATCCCCAGGGCCAGGCCTTGTGGGGCATGCCCCCCTTCCACCTGATGGTGGAGGGGAGAAATTGCCCGCCCCCTCCAGACCTTGGAGGATGCCCCCAAGTGGGCCCCCCAGCCCCACTTGCTCTGCGCGCAGGGAAACGAAAGTGAAAGCAGGGCAGCTGCTACGCAGACAGGACAACCAGCTCCCCGGTGCCGCCCCCCCCCCAGTATCCCCGGGGGGTGGCGGGGCTCACACCCCCCACCCTGGGGAGGGGAAGAACCGCCGACTCGCTCACCGCTGGACAACGTCTCTCTCTCGACGCCTCTCGGACCCGACTGCGACGGAAGAAGAGGAGGTGGAGCCGCCGGGAAAGGGCGGAACCGACTGCTTCCGCCCCTCAGCCCCGCCCGGAATTTTTTCAGCGGGGCACCGCCCCTCGAAGAGGATGCTGGGACTTGTAGTTCCGCTGCTGCTGGGGTGAGGGCTGTGCCAGAGGGGACCCTCGCCCCTGGGTTTAGGGGACGTAATGTGGGATGGGGAGAGGGGGGTATTGTCTATGCGTCTTATTCGCTGGGGGAGAGAGGGGTCTTTTAAAAAGGTAGCAGGCCCTATAAGGAGTGATGCTGGGGATTAGGGGCAGGCCATTCAAAAAGGTTGGAGCTATTGGCCCAAGGAGGATGCTGTGGCCAAAGTCCAGGGCCCAAAGGATCCTTGGGGTGGGGAGGGAGAGACATCTGACCCATCTAAAGCAAGGAGAGGGGAGTGCTGGGCGGGGGTGCTTACTTTTCAAATAAAAGTTTCTAGCCTGCATGGTTATGGAGAAAGCTTGAAAATGTGAATCTTAGAGATTCAAAAACCAGGTTGCCAACTAAAAGACCCCAAAATATAGTCATTCAAAAAAATCTTCATAAATTTAAAGCCTGTTTTATAATGTTATGGGAGGACTTATTCATGATTTTTTAATGCTTCAGATAGGCAATACTGAGGTCGTTCCAGGTATGGGGAATGTCATGTACAAAGGCACAAAGTTAAGAGAGGATGAAGATGGACAGAATACATTAAAAGGTAAAGAACAAGACAGGGAGGATGCTGATTGATGTCCTGGCATATTTATTAGTAGATGAAGCCAGGGACCAATTGGTTTAACCTGTTCATGAAAACAAAGGCGGAGATGCAGATGGAGACTGGAGCTGTTCAGCGCTTTGAAGGCAGGGAGCTTCACAAAGAAGAAGAAAGAAATGGGTTTGACGACAGTTGATGTGGTAAGAGCCAGAGGTAGGATGGGACACCATTTGAAATAAGTGTGAATCTCCCAAGCCCAGGGGCTCACCCACCCTGCCCTCCTGCAATAGCACATCATGGTGGCATTCCTTGTCTTGGGATATGGCTTTGGAGGTCGCAGTGCAAGGAGACTTTGTGGGTCCTTCATGTTTGGAGGAAAGAGTGACAAGGTAGGACCCTCTTAATCATTTAACTGGGCACTGGAAAGGGTGGAACACACCCTATTGCTCAGGCAGATGGCTCCACCCGCTGGCTAGTTTGTGGATTGACAGACGGCTATCTGATAAAATGGACAAGAAACCTGATTGAGAGAGAAAGTGGGGTTTGTTTTTTTCTTATTATTATTCAGTGTCTAAAACCTCTACGCTTTTTGTTTATCAGCACCTATTTAACTCAAGACAAGATAAAGTATTGAACAGGGAGAAAAATTCTTCAGTGGTTGAGGTTTTTCGCTAGGATGAACCCAAAGCCTAACTCAGCAGGTCTCTTTCTTTACTCTGCTAGAATGGTTGAGCAGCACCTCGCTCTACTTTTCTCCTGTGGCTGCCCTGTTTCCCTCCTGCAGTCTGTACTGATGTGGGGAAAGGTCAAGGTCACTGAGACATGTTAGAGTATGTGAGAGGTCTTTAAAAATCAGACCATTTACTTCTTAATACATGCATGAATTACATAACTCTGACTTAACTGAAAATTTTATATGAAAATTTAACTTCTGTTTGTTTTTCACCTCAGAAATATCTGGAACGTTGAACTTATCTTCCCTGGAGGTCTCCTGGAAGGATACAGAAATAGCTGAGGACTTAATTATAGGACCTGGGATGCTGAATTAAACAACAGCTTTTCTTCCAACTGTTTGCTCAGGTGTTTGAGATACAAATATTAACAAAACAAAGGAAAACCAAGTGTTTTAAACAGTGCATTTTAAAAACCACAATTAGAAGCAACCCGACAAAAGGAAAAAATGGGCTTCTGACATTTTTGCTTCTTCCGGAGGTGTAAAGAAAATATGAATTAAAAAGATTCTAAAGCACTGGATAGTAGAATTATGAACTTGTCTGTCTGTATCCATATGTTGTCTCTGTCTTATAAATTAGATTATAAGGTTTCTGGGACGGGGACAGTCTTTTTGCTCTGTATTTGTACAGCACCTAGCACAGTGGGATCCTGATCTATAATTAGGGCTCCTAGGTAATACAAATAAAAATTATTAATAGTGTCATCACAGATAACATGGAAAATAAACCCAATTAAGTGAGAGGGGAATAATTTTATTATTATTATTTGGTGTTTAAAACCTCTCAAATTTTATTTGATTTTGTCAGCATCTGTTTAACTCAAACACACAGGAGAAAACCCCTCTTTGTTGAGGACTGATCACATATATACATCCTTTAACTAAAGGCTGAGAAAGCCCCAAGCCCGCATTTCCAAATGACCCACATGCTATATTTATGCTGCAGTGTAAACCAAGGTTTGAACTCAGGATCAAACCTAACTCTTCTGCTGTCTACAAATCGCACTAACCTAGGGCTTGGACCTAGGTTTCCTGAACAGGGGTGGAAGGTCTGACCCTGAGTCAAGATGGGTTCCAGGGTAGCCCTATTGCTTTGCAAACAGTTGGAAGAAAAGCTGTTGTTTAATTCAGCATCCCAGGTCCTATAAATTAAGTCCTCAGCTATTTCTGCACCCTTCCAGGAGATCTCCAGGGAAGATAAGCTCTACGTTCCAGATGCAGCCCCACTGGACTCGTGCTCTGGGAGTCCACCAAAAGTATCTAACAGTTCTATGGGCTGAATTTCTTTGTCATTTGGACAGTCAAGTTTTACCACACTACCACTAACCAAGGTCTAGAGCGGACACATTTTGGAAGGGTGCTAGAAAGTCTGGGATGTCAGTGATTGGTATTGGGCCCGCATGGTTCAACAAACAGTGTTCAACAATTGGTAATCTGATGGCACAAACAAGTGTAGATGCTCAAGCTGTAGGTTAACGAACCCAGGGTGTGCTCATTTGTGTTCTATTAACCATGGGCTTACATTGCAGTGTAGATATATCCACAGAGACCTCTGACAAAAGGGAAGCATAACTTTGCTAAGGAAAAAAAGTAGAAAATAAAATAATTATAAACATTTCCAGCCTTTATTATGCATCATAAAGAAGCATAAAAAGACAGATCACCTTTAAACATAAAATAGTGAAGGGTTCAAACTCCGATTGAACTTGAACCCATGACCTCAGGGGCCTCAAGTTCAAAACCAGGCAGAGAGTTGTGCAAGGAAAACTGTTCCTATAGACGACCACTCATGGGCCCGTGGTTTGAAGCCAGGCCATAGTGGCCACTGGAGACCCTGGGTTCAACTGGGAGGCAGCTGCTGGGAGGTGAAGGTGCAGGTTCAAATCCAGCCCAAAATAGCTTGCGGTGGGACTTGGGTTCCAATCCAGCCCAAAATGGCGGATGAGGATCCCAGATTCAAATCCAGACCCGGACAACTCCTTGGGGTCCCCTGTGCGTGAGTTAGGTTTGGGGCCCCCAAGGAGCTGTCCGGGGCTAGATTCGAACCCCGGTCCACACCCTGCAGTTACAGCCTCATCACGTGACCCCCAAGGTAGCTTCCGCTCCCACGTTGCAATAATCTCCAGGACTGAAGGGGGAAGGAGTCAAAGTAACTGGGATTCTCTAGCCTCCCCCTTGGCCAACTCTACGGTCCTTGGGAAGGCGATCAGGCAGCCAACCAATCAGAAGTCCCAAAGGAGCCAATCGGGACGTGAGCACGTCGTCGCCCTTTCACGCAGGCCGAATGTCCCGGATTTTGGTAGGCGGGGACTCATCCAGGAGAGCCAATAGGGAGCGCACGTTCTGTCCCCACGAGGCAACGGGGCAGCGCACGTTGCGTGGCGGCGGCCAATGGGAGTGGAGGACGCTGAGGTACAGGGCAAGGTGAGCGGCGGGGCGGGGCTTGCTCTCCTGTCTCAAAGGGCTGCAGCTCGGGGGCTCGCGTGGGGGTGACCGTCCGCAGGTGAGGTGCCCGAGCTGGCTGCTGCTGGGCCTCGGCTCCGGCTGTAGCCCGAGCTTGGCTCGCTAGGGCGGCCGCCTTCTCCTCTGACCTTCGTGGCTGGGGCAGTTGAGGGGGGGAGGCAGAAAGGGGGGAGGCAGAAAGGGGGGCAGTTGAGGGGGGGGCAGAAAGGGGGGAGGCAGTTGAGGGGGGAGGCAGTTGAGGGGAGGAGGCAGAAAGGGGGGGGCAGTTGAGGGGAGGAGGCAGAAAGGGGGGGGGCAGTTGAGGGGGGGAGGCAGAAAGGGGGAGGCAGAAAGGGGGGCAGTTGAGGGGAGAGGGGGCCTTTTACTGATTTGCTGCACCCTCCCCCTTATTAGGGTGGGTCTTGATTATGACAATAGGTGTATTTTTAAAGTGTAGCGGCTAACAATAACGGTGTGTTTTAAAACTGGCATTGACAGGGAAAGCTGTACTGTAACTTATTCTCTGGTCAACGGTGAAACTTTAGGCTCCACCCCACCAGAATTCGCCTCTACCTGCTAACAACGTGTCCCTGTGCTGAATGAATCTTTTAAATATACTAGCTTTAAAACTTTAATCTAGGAAATCCCTTAGTTTATTCTTCCCATCTTGGCCCTCATGGTGACTTTCCACAATTGGAGGTCACTGTCTCGCTCATGCTACTCCATCTGTGTGGCTCCCTCTTGTTTCTGAGGGACTGACTCAACCCTTCTGTCAGCATCCATTGAAAGCCAGCCTTTTCTTTTAGTTTAGTTTTATTATTGAAACTCAGCAAAACCCTTTTGTGAGCCTGTGTCTGAAGGACCCCAAGTAAAACTACAACAAACTTTGGCAGAGAGCGAGACTGAGTCGTAATTGAAGGGAGAATCAGGGGAAGGAAGCAGGACAAGGATAAGGCACAGTAGCTAAATTTTGTTTATAGTTCTCCTGGGGAGCGTATGTTGATCTGATGTGCATTCTACTGTAAAGAGTAACATGGGGTTTGGGTATGTGTTGTTCCTTTTCAATGTGTTTTTGCTTTCTTCTCACTAGATCAGTCAAAATGCAGACTCCAGTGGCCCTCCTTGCTTCTCCAGCTCTGGTAAGCAGCTTTTTGTTTGCAGAGGAGTAATGCCAGGAGGTGGGGATGCAGCTACCATGGTAAATGAAGGCATTTCTGTTTAGAGCTGTGTTCAAAATGCTGTTCCAGACACCCTTCTATTTGGGATGTGTTATGGTGGATAACTTTCAGTCCAGACTCCTTGACTGGGGGAATCAAGGTCATCTGTGGTGTTGGTGAAGGGAGGGTGGATATCTTCTCAGTCTCCATAGGGTTGTATTGTTATGCAAATCCAGAGGCTGAGAAGATATGCTAACCTATTGTGGCTAAGGGTACTGCCACCTCCACTCTTGATAGGATTCCTTCCTAGTTGTAAGTCCCTCAAAGTGTACAACACTGGCTCAAAACTCAAATATAGTGGCACTAATTATACTTCAATAGTGTCTTGTCCTTAGATTATAGGTTATTGTTAGTCAGCTAGCTTGAGTCCCTGAGACATTTGCTTTCAAATTTTATCAGTGGAGTTGAGGGTGACTCTTAATTTCTTGTTCGTGACAAAAGCTGTTCAAAGACCCCAATAGATGACTGTAAACTGCCTTCAAATCTAAGGAATGTGGAGGTGTCCCATTATGGATTACATGTCTTTCTTTCACTTCAGTTCCGCTGCTGTTCCAGGGCTCTGGCAAGGCCGGTTTCCATATCTGTACTGAGCAGGCCTGAGACTCAGACGGTACAGGTAAGACTAAAGAAAATTGCCCCTAGCTGCTGTAATTGTGTCTCTAATTCTAACATCTTGAGATGAAATGCCTCCTTGTCGTGGTTAGTCCTGTCATTAGTCACTAGCCAGATGTATGTGGGTTTGGACAATGGAGATACTGTTTGTCTTCAGTGCCTGGCTCAGGTTACCAGCTCGAATGGCTGGTGACTCTGTACAGAGATTGAGGGGGAAGGGGAGGATAAGAAGCCTGTACATTAAGGAATGGCTAGAGGTTGTACTATGGGTTGGAGTATTGCCCTACCAAGATGCTAGGGTTGCCTTTCAGCTGGGCAAAGTTTGGATGCCCTTGCTGTACCTAGAATAGAGGATAAAATGTAGACAGACACTTAATAAATGTATTCAATTAAAATAATGTTGCTGTTTGGCTTCTTCTCCCTTCTCCCCACAGCTCTCTGGTGTTTCCCATCTACAGCTGGCTCACCGGGAGTTCCAAACGAGCGCTACCTCTAGGGATATTGATACTGCTGCTAAGTTCATTGGTGCAGGTGCTGCCACAGTTGGGGTGGCTGGTTCAGGAGCAGGTATTGGAACAGTGTTTGGCAGCTTGATCATCGGCTATGCCAGGTAAGCAAGCCACTGGCTTCAACTCTACTTCCCTGTTCCAGCAGTCAGTTTTGTAGGCCCTTTTTGTAAACACTCAGTTTTAGCTGTTACTTATTTTGTAGGAAAAGGACATTGAGACTGACCATAGCAAACAAAAAAGTGGGGGAGGAATAAGAAGGTGAATTTAGAACTGTAAAAAGAAAAGGAGTACTTGTGGTGTTCCAAACCCCAAGGAACCATTTATAATGAGGATCTTGCGTTTTCATAGCATCTTTTATCCACACACATCCCACAGGCTTTACAAATTTAATTCCCAATTAATACACGCTAAGGAATTACTTTGCCCATCAGTGAAATGAAGGCACCTCTGGGGTAGAAAGTGACTTATTTACACTGCTAAACAGCTACACTACATAGTTTAAGACAGGATGTAAAGAATATCAATCACTTCCTCAGTCTTTCAACATGTTTACAACACCTCAGTAGAACTTCACAGCTGCTGCCATCACACAGAGGGCATAATGCCATTAATGCTTGGTAAGGGATTGCTGCCTGATAAAATAATTATGTGGAGACCAGCCTTTGGGGTTTAGGGGATTGCACACAGACATGCTAAGAAGCCAGAGAAATGCCTTGAACTACTTTGGCTTTCTCTCACTTCTTTCTCTGCTCAAACTTAATGCATGTGTGTGTTCTAAGTCTCCCACTGTCATGTCCACATTCATCCGTATCCACTATTCTGTGGGATCCTGTCTTCAGGAGGCATAACCTTACCACTGAATCCAGTAGCTTGTGAGAGAGCATCCTTAGCTCCTTGTGGAATAGATTTGTTTTTTTCTCACTTAGGAATCTGTTTTTTGATGTGTCCCTTACAGGAATCCCTCTCTCAAGCAGCAGCTCTTCTCCTACGCCATCCTGGGCTTTGCCCTGTCCGAGGCCATGGGACTCTTCTGTTTGATGGTGGCATTCCTCATCCTGTTTGCTATGTGACAGCCTCTGGGCCAACCCATGGCTTCCATCACTCTGTGTCCTCTCCGGTTTGAGTCTGCCTCCTTCACCAGAGCGTTCCAGATTTATAATTAAACAAAAGCTTTTCTCTTAATAAACTGGTTTCAGACTCCTCCTTTCTCACACTCAATATGGCCCAGTGGTGAGGCCTGGGATGTCCTTAGGGATTCATCTTCCATGGTATACTGATAAAAGAAAGTAATCTTGTAGGAGTTTTAAAGATGACCCAGAAGGATAAGAATGGTGGGCTGCGGGAGAAGGTAGCTACTGTAAATAAGGTAGCAAGATAAGTAAAGTTGGCTGGTTGCTACTAAGTGACTTGAGTCTGCAGCTTTATACTACCATAATAGCTTGAGGGAAGGGCCACTGGTGCTGATCACATTCATAAATACAATGGTCTTACACAAATCTGTTAAGATCTCAAAAGACACAGCAGATGTTGCCATATTACAGCAGATAACTGCTTAAGCTGATATGAGACAGCACCATTCCCTCATATCAATATCTTAACTGGTGCCTTTCTCATGCAACATCTGAAACTGGGTATCTTGAGAGTCTCAGAAGGAGAATTTGAGCATATCTGGTGGTAGTAATTGAATGTGGGTAAGATATCTTTCATCATAGGAGAAGTTCCAACAACACATGCCTTATGCGTCTAACTTCCCTGTTGTGTTAGAGAAATGGGGTGGGCCAAAGGTCAGGGTTTAAAATAGCTGTCCTCAACCAACCTTCCCTGGGTTCTTTGCATCAGCTTCTGGTAAGCAATATGTAAAGTGGTACCCAGTGAAGGTTATTTTTCCACTTGAAAATTCTGATGATCTGTCACTGATATTCAGACATGAATACATGGATTTTACTTCCGCGGCAGCTGTGCATGACTGACAGTGTTATAACAGAGATTGGAACATACCATAGAGGAAAGCACCAAGACTCTTAACAGGTTCTAAATCAACTCAATTAAACTTCCTCTGGTATCTTAGTGCAAAGAAAATTATGTGCTTAATAAAAATTGGAATATCACAACTCTGTTGAAATCTTACCTGGTTCTCTGCTTCTGATAAATTAATTCTAAAACAACTTTTAGTAAATTAAAGCCCTTGTTGAAGTTCTAGTTCTGACCTTTCCTGACAATGTGAATTTTAAAATGGATTGTACTAATAATGAGGGTGCTTTCTCATTACTTAGCTATCAGAGTAGCCTTATGAGGCAAACAGTAACAAGGAGTCAGAAGAAATCCCAAAACTCCCCTGTAGGAGTAAGAAAGTACCCTCAGGAGGCAGGGAGTGTGTTGAAGAAAATGGCTTACTTGAATCTCAGAGGAATCCAGGTTGAAAGTTGTTGGCTAAATATACATAAATGACTGTGAAAGGACTATGCTATTTTAAGTAGGTGACTTCTGTGTCCTGGTGTTTAGCCAGTTAGGGGCATTCCCCTTGCATGGCTGGAACTGCTTTGTGTACATGGTCATATGGTACCATAGCTAAGGCTCTACAGTTGTGTTTCCTAGGCAACTGCTGTATTAAGTGAGCTAAAACTCACTTAATACAATGAACCTTGTCCTGTTTTTCCTATCTTACACAAGCCCAGTATCTACCTTTTTCTGAGGAAAGTGATTATGTGGGGAGCAAGTATCTGTGTGGAGAGAGGAGGAATCTGGGACAAATGACATTGTGTGAAATCCCAATAAAGAGGAAGGCAGGGGAAAAGGATTTGGAATGAATGTAACTTGTCCTGAGATAGGTAGCTGAGATAGGTGGACTGCTCTGAGGATGTACATAGTCCTGCTGGAGGGGATCACTGTACACGGAGCAGGATCAATGACTTTTTAAATGAAAAGACTCTTGAGACTTAGATCCTCTAAGGTATTTAGACACCTAACTCTTATTTCAATGGAGGTAAGGTGCATCATCAGTACCTCTGAGGATCTGGGCCTGACTGGTTTGTTTATAGGTGTGGCTTCTTAACATGCTTGACTTACCCCCACTCAAGGTTGGCCTTAAGCATAAATAAAGGAAGCGGCTATGTAGGACTCTACAATCGTCCCACATGAGCCTGGCAGCTCCCTCTTTTCCTCTCTGGCAGTAGGAAAGATGGGAGTGGCAATAACACATCACTGGTGCCTTTATCTTTTTCCATAGGGCCACATAGGCCCTCACGTGGAGGATGGACTTGTATTAGGGGTCTCTCACGTCCTGGTTGAGTACCCTATCCACTAGGCTAAAGGTTATAAGGGAGCACCTCCTCCTGGCTGTTTTGTTTTGGGTTCCACATGTGACTTAGTGGGCCAAATACCTATCTTCCCCAGGTTCGAGGCTCAATAGCAGGGTAGGCAGCTATCTCTATGAGAGGGGTGGGGGTTTAGCATACGCCCCTTTCAGCTTCTTTCTGTGGCTAGCTTAGGCGGCTCTCTCTTCCCCATTCATTGTATAGGGAGCTTAGGCACCTAACTCAGGCTCTGTGGATTGCAGTGCTGTTCCTATGATTTTCTGGGTGCCTAAAAGTTAGGCATTGTGATGCTGAGCATCGTGGCTCATACGTCCCCATGTGGAGCCCATCCCCTTGAGCCTATCTAAGGGTGATGCTTGCATTTATTGCAGTGTAGTTGTAGCTGTGTTGGTCCCAGGATATTTGAGAGACAAGATGGATGAGGTAATAAATTTGATTGGACCAACTTCTGTTGGTGAGAGAGGCAAGCTTTTGGTTTATGATAGACTTATATCTTCTCAATGATACCTGCTTCATAGGGTCTGCCTGCCTGGTGAGTGTAGACTCTATGTATCAGGATGTATGCAATATGCCTACTCTGAAGTGAGTTAGCTAGTTTAATGAAAAGCTCTATATACATCAGGATCTTAAAAAGCCCAAAAACCTGTCCATCTTAAGTACCCAGTTACAATGAAACAATCTGGAGTCAGATATTGTTGCTTGTTTTATCTGGCCTCTTCCAGTGTAGAATTGTACCCAAGACGGAAAAAGTGATTAGTCAGTCAGCCATGAGTCAAGTGATGAGACAGAAGCACAGAGTAGAATCCCCATCAGCTGATTAGACTCTTTGATATTTTCCCATTTGTAATCTAAATTTCAAGACTACCCTTAGCACTAGGTGTCAGGAATAGCTGTGGAATAACTGGATCTTACAAGGGGATAACCTAGAACAGGGGCTGCTGTGGCAAATTGTACAACATACATAAAAACACAGCAAAGGTACTTTCATCTTAGGATAAACTGTTGGGGGTCACCCCAGAGCAGGGGGTGCACAACGACCCCCTGATCTACACCGGCAGAGACCCAAGGACAGGTGAGTCTTCCTAATCCAGGGGTTCTCAAGCTTTTGTACTGGTGACCCCTTTCACATAGCAAGCCTCTGAGTGCGACCCCCCCCCTTATAAATTAAAAACACTTTTTAATATATTGAACACCATTATAAATGCTGGAGACAAAGCGGGGTTTGGGGTGGAGGCTGACAGCTTGCGACCCCCCATGTAATAACCTTGCGACCCCCTGAGGGGTCCTGACCCCCAGTTTGAGAACCCCGGCCTAATCCCATCTTCCAAATTGTGAATCACAACTCCTGATTGGGAACCTTTTTCTATGGTGAGGGTGTATTGTGGGGGTGGGGGGATGGAGCTCCCCTCCCCTCTCCTCTCCTCTCCTCCGCAAGAGATATTTGTACAGATGTTTCTAAACCTGTTTATTTTCTATGCACTTCTTTTATTTAAGGTGCCAAGTCGCCCTCCCCTCCTCCTCACCCCTCCCTGTTGGTCTAATTGTAAATAAAAGGCCACACATTGCTTTCGGGTATGTTAAAGCATGGATTGCTGGGAGGTGTACTCTCTCTGTGTTGCTCCTTTCTAGCAGAGAAATGAGTCACTGCAGACTGCACTTCGGCCTTCCCTGGCCTTTGTGACTCACTCACTGAATTTGAAATTACTTATTACATTTGACTTTCCCTGGCAGAGATCTCTTCTGCCCTCTCTAATATCCTGGGACCCACCGGGTTCTACCTGCACTGCATGCATCCAGGCTGTGATGCCATGTGATGACATCATGAATGCCGTCACACTGATACAGCATCACCCTCCACCAAAAGCACAGGCCGAGGACAATGCTGTCATGACACCCTGGCACCAGCCTAGCTGCACAGAGCCCTGCCCCCTGCAAAGTCTTGCACCACCAGGCCACGCCCACTGCCTCCTGGGCATGAAAAGCAGGGCACTCCTCCTCCTCCCCGCTGCTGGGCGTCTCGTTGATTGGATTGACACTCTACTCCCAGAGAAGACTCTATGGTCCGCAACTCGTTGGTTGAGGGTGGAGGACGCTCTAGTGAAAGGCGTCTCCTGGGTGGCCAGCTCGGGAGCGACACTCTGCAGCCCGGAGGCGACTCCATGGTGCTGAGCGGAGTGCTCGCGGCGGCGGCAGGGCGGGGCGGGTGGACGCTCTGGCCCGGATTCGGCGGTGGAGGAGCCGGGTGAGGGCCGCTCTGGCCGGCGGACTCGCTGGTGTGGAGTCCCGGAAGCTGCGCTCTCCCAGACGGGGCACGGGCCGCGGAGAATGGCGGAGAGTCCGGCAGCGGAGGAGGCGGCCGCGGCGGCGGTGCTGGCGGCCGCCACGAGCGGCGGGGTCCCGGCGGGGCCCGGGGGCGGCGGAGCGGGCAGCCCCGGCGTGTTCATCCCGGCCGAGCTGTGGGCGGCGGCCGGGTTCGGGGCGCCCCCCCGCGGGGGCCGGAGCCCCCCCCGGGAGCGGCGGGGCCCCCCTCGCCGGGCTGCCCGCGGCCGCCGCCGCCGCCGCGGCCGGGGCCGCGCTGCTCACTCACTCCGCCTTCTGGGACCCCACGGTGAGCGGCGACTGGGACAGCGAGAGGCCGAGCCCGGCCTGCCTGCTGCGGATCAAACGGTGAGCGAGCGAGCCGGCCTGGCCCGGCCGCCTCCGGCCGGCCTGCTGCGGATCGAGCCGGGGACCCCCGCCCCGGGGGTGTGTGTGTGTGTGGGGGGGGGGGGGATCTGTAACTACAAACCCCGTCTCCCGGGGGCCCCTCCCCCGGGATAGCGCGCGCCCCAAACCCGCCCCCCGCCCCCGGTTCTGCCTGATCCGGGCCAGC